TGAGCTTCATGTAAATGCATTTCGAGCCACCATCCTAGCACATTTGGCCACTGATTTGGGCTTATTTGAGAGCTGTCCATTTTGGTTTAAGACCATTCCCGCATGTTGTTGCATGCTTACCTTGTATGTTGTTGCATACTTGGCCTATTCGCATGTTGTTGCATGCTCATCCATCTTGCATACTTGTTAAGTTGTTTTGCATGCTTAAGTCGCATTTTGCATGCTCGTTAGCTTGCATCTTGTCATGAGCTTGATACGTTGTCACATATCCTTGCATGTTTACTTGCTTAGGTTGTATGCCTATTGCACATTGCTTGCTTGCTTGCATGCTCATGTTGTATTAGTTTGCTTGCATACTTAGGTTGCATAGCATTGTGCATGCATGCCTTGTCTCTTGATCAAACATGATAGAGGTTGGGTCCCTTGTGTGTTTATGTGCGTTTCATTTCATATTGAATTGCACACTTGGCGCCTTTGGCCATCATGCATCGAAATGCATAATTGGTGGCCCGAGGGTCGAGAGCCATACTCCTTTGAGTTCGTAGCATGATAGGGAGGGTGGTCGTGCATACATTTGTCTTGCAAATTCCTTGCCATGCACTGTCTGTCCTCTGCTGCAGCAAAAACAGGGTTCTGCAGGAATAGATGGCCGGTCGGCCACTTTCAGTACCGGCCGGCTACCAAAATCCAGCCGATGGTCCTATAGATGGTCGATGACCAGTTCCACTTGGCCGATGGCCTTGCCTTTTGGCCGGTGACATCCCACAGTGATCAGGGAGTGGTTCAGAGGCATCTCAAGTATTTTCACAGTTCTCAGAGGTGCAGAACAGTGCAAACAGAGACAACATGTGGCATGGCAACGGATTTCCGAGTAAGGCGAATCGAGCATGCATCATCTAATCATTCCGAGGCGGAGCTGCGGCGGCCTCTTGAGTTTCATACTTAGATTTGTTTTGTAATTAATTTGTTAATTAATTAGAAGTTTTGTAATATTTAATTAGTTAGAGTAGTTAATTATTTATTTGGTTTGTGTTATTTGGTCCTTCCGAGAGATGGCGAATTTGGTAATAAGCGTGTGTGTGTGTGATGCATGTATTCCAACCCCACGTCTTTCTCCCTTTTATTTACCAGCTTATGATGGTTAGATTAGGGCATGTTTCAATTAGCATACTTATGCTCGCATGTTTGCATTCATTCATCTGCCTTGCATGCACCGGGCTCGGCGCATCATGCTACTGCATTGTATTTCAATTCCAATTTGAATACATGTATCAAGTTGCATTTCACATGACATCTTAGAATAGTCGAGCCTATTTCTAGTTGTATTTTGCATGTGTTGCATTAGCCATCTTAACATGAACTAGGATCATGCATTTGATTACTAACTAGTTTCTGTTTTGGCTCGGAGTACTCAGTAAGTATTTATGCTTTAGCATCTTGCATGCATATGAGTGTTGTCATGATAGCATGCTCACCATGAGGCTAATTACTTATGTGATATGACTGCCTGAATGCCTGTGGGTGAAGGTTGGATTGCTTGAATTGGAACAATTCATTGAAATCCGTGTTTTAGCCTACTTGCGAGTAGCAAAACTCAAACCATTTTCCGAACAAACGGGTATGCAATGCTTTGTTCCAAATTAGGCGATCTAGTCTATACTTGTTTTGCTGTGCGCATCACATAGTAATTCTAGGCTAATAAACCGGAATAAGAACACATGTGTTTTCAAAAGCTCGATATCATGTTTAGTAGTGGCCGATCTTTGATCGGGCGAGTGAGGGTGCTCATAGCTGACCTTCCCTAATCGTACCCAAGTTCCCGAGCCGAGGCAATTTTGGTGATGACGGACACGTGGCCTTAGGCACGAGTCAGGGTTTCTTAAATTCTCCCAAAATAAAATATTAGGTGGCGACTCTATATCTGGCAAAGCAGTCCATGTTTGGCACTTCTTTCTAAAAATCTGTTTTCAAAACGATTTGCCGGATTTGGACTCTTTGATGATTCATCGGTCTTGCATTGCACTCTGCGAGATTAGATACAGGACCGTGACATTGAGTCCTGAACTGTAGTGAGCCCAAATGAACAGAACAGGTGGATTTCCCCCCGAGACGTTCGGGACGTCTACAGATGGTCACAACTAGATCCATGGTTTCTCACCCCAATGTCGCCGATCATCAAGCCGACCCTCCCAATCCAAATAACCTACCACAGTATTTCACCGAGCTCACCAACAGCATTAACTGCCTGGCCAAGCAAAACCAAGCCCTGATTAATATTCTACTCCAAAGAAATCTTTCTATGCCTCCTCCACCACCTCCGGATATCCCACCCAACCAAGAACAAGCCTCGAGCCATACTATCCAGCAGCCTAATCCACCCAACTTGGAAGGCTTGCAACCCCCTCCCCCAGGTATGAACCTGCCACCCTAGGGCCCACATCCATAAATCCCGGCACCAATCCCTGAAGGAAAGGCCAGCAGCGTCCAGCCCTCACTCCCTTCTGGTGGTGACAACATTCCTCTTTAGAATGCAGAACTTCGAGCCATGAAGCTCCAACTCCAAGGGGTCATGCAGAACATACAGCATAAACCATCTACCACAGCCAACTCCCCATTTGTTGCCTCCATCAGGGACAAACCTCTCCCTCTTAAGTTCAAAATGCCCACGATCGACTTTTTTGACGGTACAACGGATCCAGTCGATCACTTGGAGACCTATAGAACCCTCATGATCCTCCATGCATTCCCTGATGAAATCATGTGTCGGGCTTTCCCCGTGACTCTGGTTTAGTCAACTGCCAGCAGACTCTGTTTCCACTTTCCAGCACCTCAGTGACTCGTTTCTCAGCCATTTCATTGGAGCCCAGCGCCAGCGGCATCCGACAACCCAGCTCCTCAACATCCGTCAGAATGAGGGGGAGTCGCTCCGCAGCTTTGTCACCTGCTTCAACACCGAAGCCCTGCAGGTGGCGAAAAACGATGACAAGATCATCCTCACGGCATTCATGGCCAGCCTACGATTATCTGATTTCCTTTTCTCCCTCTCAAAAAACCCCCCGACCTCCCTGGCAACCTTCTTTCCAAAGCCCAAAAATACATGAACGCAGAATATTCCCTAGCCACTCGCCAAGACCCTACTGCCAAAAACCTGACCCCTAGAGAGAAGAGAAAGGACTCAGAAACCAGAAACACCCAGTACAATAACCAAACACCTCAGTATACTGACCGACCACCCCAAGCCGACCGGTCGGCACCAGCCCGACCGCCCGGCCGATTCGAACGGTACACACCCCTTAATTCCCCCATGGAACAAGTCCTCAATCATATCCAACAAGACTACCCCCTGAAATGGCCTCAACCATCACGGTCCCCTTCCAATCGGCAAGACCAGTCTAAATATTGCCGTTTTCACCAGGACCACGGTCATAATACCGAGGAGTGTGTTAACCTCAAAGATCAGGTTGAGGGCTTGATACGTCAGGGACGTCTCAGTCGGTTCACGGAAACCCGCCCTCAGCAAAGGCAAAGGACCGAACCTATCAGAAACAACCGTCGACGCACTCCTCCTTGGCAACCAGCACAACTTAACCCTGGCCATGATCGCCCTCCACAGCAACCCCAAGCACAAGGTAACCCTACCCCCCCTGTCGGAGAAATCAGAGTCATAGCCGGCGGGCTTGCTTGTGAAGGTCCATCCCGCTCGGCTCAGCGGGCAGAACTCAGAAAAATAAGACAGGGGTCAAACAAAGAAGTTGCCACATTAGACCGCCCTTCCAAACAGCCCAACCAGTGGATGGAGCCCATCACCTTTACGGAAGCCGATTGCACAGGCATCCGTTACCCCCATGACGACCCCCTCGTCACTTTTGCCCTCCTTTCCAATTACAAAGTCAGACGGGTCCTCGTCGACAATGGCAGTTCTTCAGATATCATCTTCCTAAATGCCTTTCACTAGCTCAAGATCGGGGAAGAAAGTTTGTCTCCTCTCCAAACCATGTTAGTCGATTTCACTGGAGACCGGGTGACCTCCATCAGCTCCATCGATCTTCCCATCATAATCGGCAAATACCCGTGGCAGACCACAAAGTTACTCACCTTCCTTGTTGTCGACTGCCCCTCTGTTTACAATATCATCCTTGGCCGCACCGCCCTAAATGCCTTCCAAGCTATCACATCCACTTTCCATCTTGCCATCAAGTTCCCCACCAATTTTGGGGTTGGCACAGTGAGGGGAGAGCAGACAGTGGCCAGAGAATGTTATGTCGCCTCGCTTAAAGAAGTCAAGCTTAAGGAGGCTATGATCATTGAAGGACTCGACGTCAGAGACGAGGACGAGCTGGGCAGAAGGGAGCCAGTGGAAGAGCTCGTTGAGGTCCTCATTGAGGTTTTCTTACATTTTAAACTGCACTCTGCGTTGAGGTTTTTTTACATTTTAAACTTCACTCTACATTGAGGTTTTCTTACATTTTAACCTTCACTCTGCATTGAGGTTTTCTTACATTTTAAACTTCACTCTGCATTGAGGTTTTCTTACATTTTAAACTTCACTTTGCATTGAGGTTCTCTTACATTTTAACTTCACAATAATTTATACACAAGCCCTGTGTAAGTCACCACTTTCATTCTTTGCAGATCCTCAAACAATACAGACAATAGCATAAAAACACAAACACAACTCATAATTTTATTCATTCACAAGCTTATACATAAGTTTATTACAGAAATTCCACAAAAAAAAAGAAAAAGAAAAAAAAAAGCAAGACAACCAAAACTCTGAGTACAAATTTTGTTCACCCCAATCATTCCTCTTCACTTGAGACGAGGTCTTCTTCTTCAACACCCTCATCTAAGGGGGTTTGGGCCACGTTGTCTTCGTCAATCTTTACACTGCTCAAGTCCAAGTCTGGGAACAGCTCTTCTGCTTTGCGTTTGAACATCTTCCAGCCGCTGTCCCAAAACTCAGTCATCTCGTGTTTATAGAAGTCCGACCGCTGGATGCTCTAGATCACTTCTTCTTCACTCCTGCTCCCAGCAGTCGCCCCCGACGGGCCAGCCCCCCCAGACCCCTCTCTCGCCAAATTGTTGGCGATCGCGGCATCGACAGCCATTTGAAAGTCAGCAGACCCCTTGAACTGCTCTACTGCTGCGACGCATAAGTCAGGATATGCTGCCCTTTCAGAGGCTGCCTTGGTCAACTCCTTCTCCAACCTCGCCTTCTCTGCCGCTGCCCTGGCGCGCTCGTCTGCCAGATCCCTCTCCAACCCCGCGATCTTCAGATCTGCTTCTTCCTTTTCTTTGATCGACTGGGCGCGCAGATCCTCGTTACAAGTCATCGCCTCGTCCCACCGTTCGTTGGCGACGGTGCAGGCTTTCTGGGCCTCTTCCAGCTTCTTCTGCTCGCTAGCCAGTTGGAACTCAAGCGACACCACCTTGCGGCGTTCGTCCTCCAGCTCCAACTTGGCCGCGAGCAACTCAGCATAGGCACGGTCGGCAAAATTGCTCTGCACCATCGCCAACACCCCTATCTTCTTCGCCTTCTGAGCCTCCTCCAATCCCCTGGCACATGCACTCTGCGCAGCCTTCCTCCAGCCTACGCTCTCCTTCTTGAAATTTTCAAGCTGGGCTTTCACTTACCCCAACTTTTCCCTCTCCTTCCTCACTTCGCCCTTCGCCGCCGCCGCTTTGTTCAACAGGGCTCCTGCTAAGGCAGTCGCTTTCATCTGGGCAGAGCATAATCCCCTTAGCAGCTCAGCCTCAGTAAAACCAGCCACCGAGCGCACGGCTGCGACTTCCACTACCCCCAAGAGGCGATCTGCAGCCATCCTGGCTTCTCTCACTTCTCCTTCCACTCACCCGGACACCGCTGGGACGTGGTAGAAGGCGGTCTTCAACCCAGCCCTCTCTTTTTCTCCTTGGGGCGCAAGACCCTCCTTAGGCTGTGGCTCTGCCCTCTGCTCAACGCCGATCGCCCCACTTTCCATTTGTTCTTCAGGGCCAGTCGCCCCACTCTCCACCCCCTTCGCTGCTTCTCCCAACCCCACTTCGGGGGTCTCCTCCGTCGTCACCTTCTTCCTCCTTTTCAAGGCGGGTTCCCCTTCACTCTCTCTCACTCTCTTATTCTTCTTCAAAGTCTCTATCTCTTTTTTGTTCCTTTCCTTCAGAGGATCCACTGGGGGTAGTCGCGGCTCAAAGCCTCCCAGATCCTTCCCCCCCAACGACTTCGGTCGCAGTCGAATTCGCTCTCTCGTGATCGGCTTTGGAGTGGGCCCCAACTGTGTCTCCTTGTATTTGTTTGCTCGGGCGAACAACCTCATTTCCTCCTCCTCCTTCGCCTTTCGTTGCCTCTCCAACTCCTCCCTTGCCGGATCCTCCCCCAACAGTTGCGGCCCTAAGTTCACAGCAAACAACGTTGAAGGCAAGACCAGCTCGTCCCACCTCACTCCATTCTCTTCTCTCCATTCCCTAACCCTCTTCACTCGGTTTTCCGCCGTCTTGTCCAACCTAGGCTCGACCGATTTGGTGGGCATCTTCCACATTGTGCGAACTCTTGCCCCATCGTTCGCTATCACAAAAAACCATCTCAGCCTCCACCCCGACGATGGAAGACCCGCCACCAGACCTCGCCCCGCCACTGCTTGTAGCGTCACCCAAGTCTCCTGCTGACCGGAGGCCTTGTAGCACGAGAAGAACTCGTCTACTGTTATGGTCGTCCCCCCGGTCGCTTGGTGCCAGGAACTCGCGCACGCCATCAGTATTTTCCAAGCGTTCGGCATCAACTGCCCTGGCACCACTTCCAGCTTATTCAGCACGTCCACTACGACCTGAAGGAGGGGTAACTTCAACCCCCCTCGCAATGCTTCTTCATAGAGGCTGAATTCGTCTGGCCGCACATCTGACGCCCTCTCCTTGGATGTGGGCAGCCTCAGCCCCACCTTCGCGGGAATTTGGTACTTCTTCCTCAGCCTTTCCAACTCCTTTACTGTCAATACGGATCTGTCCGGTTTGGTGTGCCAATGGTCTGGCTCCACCTGACTAATAGGTCTTGCGGCCGAAATCATTGTCCTAGGGCGAGCTCGCACAGCCTGACTTGCTCCCTCCCCCTCCCTACGCTCCGTGCGATATTGTTCCGCCAAGTCTACCGCATTGTCGTCGCCCAATGGATCCACCCTCGTGGTTGTTGCTTCCTCTTGGGCCATCTCTCTTGTGTGTCTGCGAATAGTTTCGGATGTTGGTACGAGATAGTCCACAAAATATTGCAAAGGGGTATCACTTGACACAAAGAAGTTTACACTTTGAATATTTTGGTTGTTTGCAAAGAGATATGTAAAACAGATAATTCCAAAAGCCCAAGGTTTGCCTATATTCCAAGGGTCACAATTAAATTTCGCCAGTTTGAAAATTTTCAAAAATCCGCCAAAACTGTCTTTTCAACATCCTATATTGACCTATCGTTTCATTCTTACTCAACGCCTAACCTTCCCTATCATGGGATTCTGCCACGTGTACGCCCACGATCCACTGCCCCCTTCGCCTACCCTGTCTCTTCCACTTCAAATCACCACGTGCCCTGACACCTCTCGAGCCCCGCACACCGCCACTCAATCACCTGCGCGGTCGGCCTTCCTCACGGTCGGTCCCTCCACTCGGCCACCCTGGGCGATCAGCCTTCCTCACGGTCGGCCCCTCCATTTGGCCACCCTTCGAGGTCGGCCTTCCTCACGGTCGGCCCCTCCACTCGGCCACCCTTCGCGGTCGGCCCTCCTCACGGTTGATCCCTCCACTCAGCCACCCTTCGCGGTCGGCCCTCCTCACGGTCGATCCCTCCACTCGACCACCTTTTGCGGTCGGCCCTCTTACTGGCCGGTCACCCCTCTCGGTCGACCTTCATCCTTCTGGTCCTTCACAACCCTCATTTTCTCCATTATTCCCTTCGTTGGACCAAAGCTACACTTGGGAATAGGGGACTACTGACATGTATAAGCCCATAAGATTATAGCCCACCATTTAGGGCCCAATACATAACTCAAATACTGCTGAAGCCCCACGTAGCAATAAGAACCAATGACATTAAGATACATGGCAAGAGAAGGGCAAGCCACATAAGCAGACGAAGATCTGCAAAGTTATTGTCACTGCGCATCGCCATTAATGAAGCCCCTTACAGCATTTATTGCAATAACCCCTTTCCGTCGGGACAGAACGCCTTCACCATGAACAAGGTAAGCTAGACCATAGACTTTCGACCAAGGTGACAGGTCGGAAGGGACAACGAAATGATTAGCAGAGGATATAAGCAGACGTCGAAGACAAGAAGAAGGTTAAGCTTTTCTATCTCTAAATCATCTCTACATTCTACTCCTCTCTCTAACTTGCTCGTCGGAGGGTTCGCTGGGGGACTCCCCGTTTCCCGCTGAACTCTTGTGCAAGTCTTCTGGTGGGCTTGGTCACTCGGACACCAGTTTGGGAAACGTGGATCAGTCCGACCCGTTCCGTCTGGAACTCGCAGTATCATCATATTCTATTGACCATTGTTTGCTACACAATCATCTATTGCTTGCAAAGCAATACTCTTATGTTGCTTTACTCTCTAAATTTATACTCCATTAATTATATCGTTTTGTCATTAAAATCAACTATATTTCTTCATCTTTGTAATGGAAGAGTTACAAATCAATAGAAATTCAAATTCAAATAGCAATATACCTGGTTACAACAAAAGCAGTTATGAAAATATAAGTTTTGTTTTGTATAAAAAAAATTTCACGATTTTAATTCAGTAAACCAGTGCCGAAACATGTTACTTTTTCAGATATCGACTGCTAAAATTATTAATTCTATTCAAAAATCAAGTTCTGAATTTGGATATAAACCAAATTCAAAACACAACTTTCAAATTTAAGAATTTATTTCAGAAACCAAGTTCCGAATTTTTTTTACATGTTTCGGAAGTTAAAAATCAAATAAACCTTTTTCATTCAGATAACCAATACCGAATAAGCAAAATCGAATTGCTTCCAGAAAAAAATGAGAGTTTATGAAAAATAAAAGATAGATGGAGTTGTACGTCTTCGATGGAGTTTGATACAAAACGGTGTTGTTTCAAGATCTATGTTGATGCCAATTAATGATTTTTTGATGTTGGCTAGATTGTTTATTGAAGGAATCAGTTTGACGATGTAACTAGAAATCAAAGGAGGTAATTTGTCATATAATCTAAAGATTTATGGAGCGATTTGCTGACGGATTTCATGTGAAAGATGTTGCTGTGTTTTCAAGGTGAGTGGAATAAAAAATGGGTCTACACCATTGATTCTATGTGAAACAAATGGTTTAAGTGGTGTGTGTAAAAGGATGTTAGTTAAGGGTATAATTGGAACATATGAGATTTGGACTGAGAACAGAAATATAAAACTAATTTCATAAAGATGTGCGTTGAAAAATTATATACACAGAGATAAAAGTGTGTGGAAATAGAATTTCCCACCAAAATGCCTTACATAATTTCTAAAATATCACCACTCAAATTGTTTCACCAACCAACTAAAGGGAAAAAATAGCAATTTCAAAATAAGCTTAAAATAAGAAAAGAAATGACAAGCCATAAGAAAAAAGAACTTATATATATACATATATATATAGAGAGAGAGAGAGAGAGATTCACCACTTTTGGTGGCTTTCCTCTTCTATTGCTGGGAAGGTTTACCACACTACTCACCCCATACGTTGCACGGGATAGACTCCACTTCATACATTATCTCTCCATATCTCTTCACAGTCTTCCTATAAGGCTTAATTCTAAATCTGTACTGATAATCCAAACTGTCTATTTCATAAGTTTCGTAATAAAAGTCATCTATACAAAAACTGAGTTTTATTGGACATTTACAAACATAATAAAAAATCACATTTTATTTGATAAAATAAATGACAAATGTGATTATAAACTTAAACCATTCATTTTTTAAAATAAAATACTATATGTTTATAGTTGTTCGATGAAATTAATTTTTTGTATGGATAACTTTTATTGTGATTTCTACAAAGTAGACGATTCAGATCATCGGTGCAAGTTTAAAATTAAGCCTTATAAGAAAAGTATGAATAAATATAGAGATATGAGGCATAGAAGAGAGTATACCCCACGTTTCACCACCATCTTCTATCTTTGTCCAATTCTAGAGAGCTGAATTGGAAAGTGAACAATGGATTTGGGTGTACCCATATCAAACTCAACAGGCCACAATTTGGAAAACCTGAGGTCTGGCCCAGACGCTCCTAGGTTGGTTAGGTCGATGAGTCCCCGTTAACATTGAAAGGTGGCACGTTTGGTCGAACTCATGAACCCAGCAGAAAATATTAAAATTCAAAAATATGTAAAGGCGGTCCATTACCATTGGGAAGTTTGGCTCCAACCCACAAAAAAAAAAATAAATAAATAAATAAATAAATAAATAAATTAAATCGACCTTTAGCCTCAATTAGGCTATTAGAAAAAAATCAGTGAAATTAAATTGATCTTTTAATTGAAGTTTGGATTGCAACTTTTTTTAAAAAAATACACCAGTATCAATCAAATAGACCGGACCATTTTTAAAATTAGCCTGTTCCCAAGCGAGGCCTAAATCCTACCTAGAGAGGAACAAAATTATCAACCCAATATTTAAGAAAGGAAATGTTTGAGATCTTTAAAAAAAAAAAAAATTAATAACAATAATAATAATAATAATGATTTGATCTACAATTATATAATATGATAGGCATTAACTTTTAATTGTCATAAATAATACACAATTCTCTTGCCACATTATTATGGATGAATTTA